GGAGTAGTATTTTTAGAAGTAAGCCCACAAAAGTTCGCAGGACGCAGTTGATCAACATGCCTAAGAACCTTAGCAGCGTCAATCACAATCTCATAGTGCAACAACCCCTCTCTTGCTGCGGTTTTTGTAGTGGATCACTATCGTTAGCTATTTCTCGACTGTTTTGTCCAATATTACGCCTAACAAGATCAGTACGTGTTATAAATTGCCTCTTGAACATCATTTCTCCAGGACTTAGACCGGTTGTACTGCTTGGTGTTTGTCTATACTGCATAAGTATCCGGCAACTTCAGATTGAGTGGTTTTGGTTCATCCATCATGGAGCGTATTTTTGTTTAAGTATTTGTACATATCTTTCAGGTATTCCGTTAGTTGAGGGATGATAGGGAACCGTAAATTTATATCCTATACCGTTTGATTTAAAAAATTATTATTATTATTATTATTATGATCAAAAAATTGGTATCTAAAAATGGTGCAGCATAATCTATATGCAATCGCTGCCATGGGTCTTTGAAAAATTTCCATGGATGTATTGCAACCTTGACATGATTAGTACGTATTAGGGAACAACTTCTATATGAATTGGCTGTCTCCTCAATGTTTCTCTCGATTCCAGGCCACTAAATGTAGCTTCTTGCTATAGCCTTCATCTTTACTACTCTTCCTGTGGTATGGGCTTCATGAAACTCATGCAACATCCTATTACGAAGTTTTGTCGGAATAATCACTCTAATGCCTTAAAAAATACATCCATCTTGTATAGAACATTCATGAAGGGAATGTATATTTACTTTTCCAGACTAAACTTCTAACAATAGTCTCCTGCATTATGCAGTACCTAGTTGCGTTTCTTTTCTTATTTCATCTTTCTTAACGGGAATTTAGTTTATTTAAGTTAAATGCTCCCACCACATCAATTTCTTCCGACGTAGATTCATCAGTGGCAGACCTGAATAAGTAGTCAGCGTTGGAATGCTCTTCAGTAGTTCGAATTTTAATTGTGTAGTTGAATCCTGCTAAGAAATTTGCGTAATGTACTAATTGTAAAGCTGTAGTTGCAATATTCTTGGTAAGGGTTTGTTACCTACTATTTGGATAATTTTTCTACCATAACAATATTAACATAAAAAATTTTAAGTCCCCAATTTAGAGCCGAATCTTCTTTATCAAGCTGACTGTAATTCTTTTCTGCCTTTGTTAGTGATCGTGAAGCGAATACTATGGTCCTTCAACACCATTTGGCATAATATTTGGTAAAATAGTGCCAAAGCCTGTTTGTGATGCATCGGTTGCTAAAGTAACAGAAAGGTGACGGCAAAAAATAACCATATCTAATTGTTACCTAGCTCCTTGTGGAACAACTACATAAATCGCCACCAGTAAATCAGAGGTGCCCACTTAGACTAGCTAAATTGTTATAATTTATACATCCTGTTCATATTTGTCAAAAGTCATGTTCATTGTCATGTTAATGCCAAGCGCATTTCTAGTTTAATAAAGCCTTGTTTTTCTAATGGGTCTCATGGTAATTTATTAAACCAGAAATTGAAATACGGAGAAGTTCCTACGACCAGTTCGTTTCGAAATAAACTCGTACTCAAAATTAGCTCAACAGAAGTGGACCCACTGGAAACAGACTTTTGAAAATGTTCTCTTCGAGTACAGACAAACTGAATAAAGCTACAAAACATCGTGTTTTTATTAATCATAGTTCTTCTAATGTATACAGATTGATTAGTGAATGCAAGACTTATAATCAAGCAATACAAATTTTAGACCAAATCTACATAAAACCTAAGACACTCCATAATTATGCGGAAACAATTAGTCGGAGAATCTGTAGATCAACATATGCTGGCGTTGGAAAATTTAGCAAAAGGCTGCGACTTTAAAGCTATATCTCCTTAGTAAAATAAAAACGATTGTTTTAGGGACGCCTTCATCGCGAGCCTCTCTTCGACTGCTATAAGACAACGTCTTTTAGAAAATACATCCTTGAATTTGGATTCTATATTTAGTCAAGCACACGCAATAGAAACAGTTGTTCTAAACTCAGCAGAGACTTTTTCAACTTTCAATCCTACAGTTAATGCTTTAGTTGAGGAAATTAATGATTCTCCTAACAACACTGCGGGAAGTAATGCAGAATTGGTAGCTGCTGTATCTCCTATGTTACAGTATGGTAATCGGTTATGCTATTTTTGTGGAGAACCATTCCATCGAAGAGATCAGTGTCAAGCATCAAATTCTATTTGTCAAGTATGTCTCAAACGAGGATATTATGCAAAAATATGTAAAAGCCGATCAACAACAACAGTCTCAGCAACTAATAAAACCATTGATACAATATCTCTGGTTAACTCTGTTTCTGCAAAAAATCTAAATCAAGCTATTATTTTTATCAAAGTGAATGGAATACAACAAAAGGACTAATAGATACTGGCCGTACTTCAAGTTTTATCAATTCATCGCTTGCTAATAGATATACACTAACAAAGGTCCCAGTCAATGAGAACATAAATATGGATTCTCTGAATCATTTTTGTCAGGTGGAAGAAAGTTATTTGTAACATTAGAACTTAAAAACAGTGATTACATATGAGAATGTAAAACTTCTTGTCATGAAAAATCTTTGTACTGACATTATTATGGGTTAGGATTTTCTAAAACAACATTCATCTGTAGAAATGTCAGTTTCTGGACCTAAAACTTCTTTAAAAATATGTAATCATTTAAAAGCAGCAGTTCCTGAAGCATCCCCTTTTCTTAAATTTATCACATGATTGTAAGCCTATCTTCATTAAATCTAGGTTTTCTGATGCAGACAAGCAGTTTATACACTCAGAAATACGGAAACCTCTTGCTGAATATATTTATAAAGAAAGTAAATCACTATGGAGTGCACAAGTTTTAATAACAAGTAACGCCAGAAGAAGCGAATGGTGATAAATTATGCCCAAACAATAAACAGCTTCTCCGAACTAGATGCGTATCATATTCCAAATATTGAAGAGATGTCTGAAGTATCGAAATATAAAGTATTTAGTACTATTGACTTATCATCAAATTCCTATTCTTGAACATTAAAGACCGTATACTGCATTGGAGGCAGTTTATCTCTGCCGAAATCCAATTTGAATACATTTCTGTGTCCAAATTCATCTGGCTCGTCAAGTTTCGTTCTCAATTCCTGGGCGTATCGTCTCATACCATTTAATTTTTGGCTTATTCTAATATTCCAATTCCGATCAGTTGCATATATTATTTCTCCATGCTTCCAGACATTTTAGTGGCATTTATATTACTTAAGTTGTTCAGATTTGAAAATTTTTCTTTATATTCATCAATTAAATTAACATCCTGTATATGAAATTAATTATTTATTGAATTAAAATGTTTAATTTCATATGTAATTAATAATAAATACGTTCCAATTTTAGTTCAAGTTCAATATTTAAATCGTAATAAAAAAAATGCTGACTTATATTAAAATTATTTTCAAAATACTGAACTAGAGAGATTGAAATTGGAATAAAAATATTTTTCTAATGTGCATTTAAATAATTAAATAATATTAATTGTTAATGTATATTGTTTACTCTGTGATAATATACATGTAAATGCAAATGATAAATAAAGAGATTGACTAACAACACGAGGTAGTATGGTTTACAAAATTATTATCTCTGAAATGAGATTCATGAAAACCATCTTGTAGTATTAATTACAAAATTCATCTTTGAAAAAATAAATGTACAATATTTTAATTGTGAATTTAATTATGTTACTGTCATTTGATTAAACGGTAACTGTCAGTGGTCAGTAGAAGATATTAAGATACAACAAAGAAGACCAGCTGAGGCTTGTCTAAGCCTGTGCGCGCAGTACTGATTATTCTAAAATATAAAGTACTCAAAATTTTTCGAGTACCGAGTCCCATCAGAATGAATGTACATACGAGTACCTAATACTGAGTACTTAAGTACAATTTTGAGTGCATCTTACAATAGTGCTGCCCAGCTCTGCATAATGTTTTCTTGTCATTAAGATATTTACAGATTTAAATGTACATTTTGTATATAGTAATTAATAGTTTATATTGCTTGCCTTGTGGAGCGGGTGGATAGAATGACTTTAACTGGGCATTTACCATCGGGCTGGTAGAAGCCCACCAAATGGCCACTTTAAAAAAACGGGGCATCTATAGATACCTGTTGGCGACGATAATAACCTGCAGGACTTTGTCGATTTGAGAAGATGGATGTCTGTAATCTATGGAAAGCCCTCAGCGTTAACCAGCAGGTTTTTGATGGATAGATAACCTGCAGGAATTATTAAAAAGTTTCGACAAGAAAAGATATTACCTACTTTTATCATACAGAATCGCTTCTGTGGTATTCCCTGTAACAAAATATAGAATATTAAATTAAATACTATTACTTGCTAAAATTATGTCTGTGCCAACGATTAATAAATATGTTGTTAAATTATTACCAGTATTTTATTGAGGCATGCTTGGGTTCAATCCTCATAATATGTCGGTCCAAATTATTTGCGCTTACTGTATGTCCTAATAGTCGTAACTCAATTTTTTTCTGTTTGTATGGATATTAAATAAAAACCTGTAGGTAGTTTTTGCACTCTATAAATTTCTAAATGTAATTTTACACTTAAGATGTACGTACCCGTGTTGCACCGATATTAAGTGTGGATTTTTTGTTGTATATTTCGGAATTATGTAATCAATGATATCGAAATTTCTATGTTCTTATATTTAGTAGTACCCAATAAAAAAATTCTTTAAATCTAGATAGATTTTTCATAGAATATTCGGTTTAAGCAAATTTTAATAATTAATATAATTGAATATTTAAAAAAATAAAAGCATAGAATTTTGAGCACCCCTTGTAATATATTCGAATAGAGCCTCAAAGATACAAACCAGCGAAAGATAAAAACCTGACACCAGTAGTAAAAATTTTTAACTTTTTCTCTAGGGTGAAAAAGCCTAGCATAGCAATAGTTGCGGGTGCCTCAACATCTGAAGACGTTTGTCCTTGGGAAAGTGGTACTACGGAAACCAGAAGTAGGAAAAATTCTGCAGCTCTAGATTCTGGTAGTTCTTCATCAGATATCAGTGTAGCTGTCATAGAAGTTTCCGAAAAGGTTACATTCATTTTTATTTATTTATTTTATTTATTTATTTTATTTATTTATTTTTCGAAAACTCATTTGAAAATGATTATAAATTTTTTTATCATAATACGTAAATTAGCCTATGCATTTTGTCATTTAAGTTCACACTTGGTATTATTGAAATGGTTTGAGTTATTTTCTAATATCATCTCTATTTTTTATTTGCCTTTCCGTAGGTTCAACGTTCTTGTATGCTAACCCAACAACATACACTGGATAGTTGTCGAAATCTAACAGCCCATCCCATCGAACCGCAAAGAAGAGCATCTGTATCTGTGCCCATACAACATTCCTCTCCATCCGCCGAATTGTCAAGCACCGCCAAACGGAAAGTATCCTCATTCGAAGATAGTTCCGCCGTTGGCAGTTCCGCGTCCGTCAGCAGTTCCGCAGCTAGCAATTCCGTAGCGTTGAGCTGCAGTTCTACACTTGCCAATCCAACTGTAGCGTCTTCGACGTCAACGGCTTCTTGTGCATACGCACATCTTAGTGACACAGACAATAAATGCGATGACAAAATTATAAAAACTTTAAAAAAGAGTCATAGTCTTGTAAAAACTTTTACTAGTGCGACAGGAGGGTCTAATACACCCACTATCAGTGTTAGTCCAGTTGTGGATGAGTATCCTAGAGAAGGTAAAGCTATATTATTTATTTTTACATAATCAACAAAGCAACTTGAATTATATGACAAATGAAATGGTAGTTTATAAATGGGTCGAATTTTATTATTTATAATATATTTTATTATAATTATTATTTTTTTTTTATTTAATTTATTATTATTATTATTAATTATTACTCTAAATTGGAGCAAAGGATTAAAATTCTATTTTGCTCTTTAGATAACCATGAACGAGTAACTAATAATAACAAACGATAAATCGAGTAAAAATATTAAAGATAATAACAAAAATAAAACAAAAAAACAAAAGGATGGGATGAATAATTTCTAGCATAAAAAACAAAATCCTTGTCACCCCACTTTATGTCACTTTTATAGTCCGTGTCGTCCAGTTCTTCAAAATAGGCGTTTGTGCTCCAATAGCTTCCAATTTGGGCGCATATTTCTTGGCAATGTGAAATTTTGTCAAGTTTGGAAATTAACTGAGATCCGAAATTGCCAAGTTTAGCGAGTAGGGTGCATGAGGAAGTATTTCAAAGCCCAGTTTATTAATTTTAGCCATCAAAATAATGGACTTGTGATAAGGTGCATTGTCCTGGGGATATAAAACTTTTTTATATAATCCAGACCTTTAGCATTTTCTATTGCAGCTGATCAAGAAAGTTAAGTTGATATGATTTATTTTTTATTCGCCTTTTGTATCCCAAAATACTGACGATATAAACTTTTCGGCAGATGAAACTGTCCTATGCCTTGACTGCTATTTGGGCTCTGGTGTGTAATGGTTACCTTAAGCCCGTAGTTATTAATTTGCCGAATAACTCTTTTGGATTGCCACAAAGTAGCAACAAACACTCTTCTGAAACGTTCGTACGAATGAGTTTTTGCTCAGATGCGACAACTAGCTTGCGGAAAGCTCTGTCCAAAATTTCGCATAACTTATGCGAAATTTTTGATGTTTTCGCACTTTTGAAAATCCCACAACCTTAGATATTTCCACCAACTTTAAAAGATGGTCAATCAAAACAAGTTTATGGACATTCAGGACCATATATCGGGTGCTTCGCATCCCTCATTTTATGGCCACGTTTCGAAAATGTTACCCATGTTTTGACTGTAGAAACTGATGCTTAGAGCTTTATACAGTATGGTTCAAATGAAAGGAATAAATTCATTATAATGGAAGTAGCTGGTTTTTCGAAAAAAATGCTCGGACAGGTCAATTTTGTTTACTCAAAGCGCAATTTTTTAAATAGAATTCAATTTTCCTCCACTTCCCATTTTTAGGCAGTGACGTCATTGACAATTTTTTTAAATGGTAACCTCAATTTTTTTTTCTTGATTTTGATAGATCTTGCAATTTCCTACTCGGAAACATAATATTTGAAATATCTTACATAACAATTTTTTTGAATAGAAGACATTTAAAGATATATATATATATATATACTTAACATAAACAAAGACAAGCAGGATCATTTTGAAGGGTGACCTACACAGAGGCGGGCCGCCGTATTCCGAGTAAACAAGCTGGCACTCTATTTCCAAATTTATGAGAGTGCTTCTACACTCTCCTACCAGACTGCTTCGGGTAGTGTTGTCAGGCGACCAAAATCAAATTGTTGTACAATGCTGTAGAAACTCTTTTTTTTTTAATTTTATTGTACAAAACTGACTCTTACTAGTGTGATTTTGTCGAAAGTTGGATAATTTAAGAGTTTATGGGGTTAGGGTAATTAGATTAGATTAGATTGGATCTAATCTAGGGTAATTTGATAATAATTTTATTGAGTACACGAAAGAATAATATCATTTAACCTATTCTTGTTTCGAAAATAATTTATTCTCTTAATCCTTTCTGATTTTGATCTCTTTATTATTTTTGTCTATACATTTTTAAAGATGTCTGGAATATTATTATTTCATATGTACGTTTAAAACATACACATCCATTATCCAAAAGACCTCGCACTTATTTCATTATGTAAAGTGGCAACCGGTCAAATTTTTTGAAACTGTGGTATGTTATTATACTCAACCTGGTAACCAAAAGTATCAATAGGCTCAACTCAATCCTATGACTAGTTTTCGATATACAGGGTGTTAAAGTTGAAAATTGTCTAGTTTTTCGAAATTTTTATTTTCAAACTTGCGAGCTAGAATAAATTTTTGTTGTATATATACGTTTACTACATGTTTTACATACGTACAATTAAAAATATTTTTATTTTCAGGGTTATTCACATATAATATATGACGGTATATAGTTTTTCCAAATTCTCACTAATTTTACTGTGACGCCAGAGAAGCATATTTTTAAAAAATACTACACAGTATGGTATTTTGGCAATAAAATATTATACAGTACATATTTCTTATACAGGGTGTTCCAATAGATTACCCCGTATATTTTAAAATCTTATGGTTACACACCTAATGTGTTGTTATTAATTTACTCAAACATCACTAAAGAAATGTAAGGAATTTTTTTTAATATTTTCAAAACATAATTATTTTTTGATATTTGGCTGGATGGCACATTCTGTATAAAAATATAATAACTCAATGAAATAATTTCTCAGTGACGCAACTGCAGTTATTGAGTGTTTGCAAAAATATATTGATTTATTCGTAAAGCACCCTGTAACAATTATTTTGAATCAGTGGCGGCTTGTGTCCAAAATATTGGAGATTCACTGAATAAAGATTTCAGTAAAAATGTAGGTAAAAAACTTTCAGTCTCTTCGGTATATGGTACCTCTCTATACCTATACCTTTATAAAGTACTGAAAGTTTTTTACATACATCTGTACTGAAATCTATATTCTCTGTCACTATAAACCCCCAATATTTTGGCCACAAGCCGCAACTGTTTTAAGCTGTCCTTTGTAATAGACTTCTTGGCAAAATTTTTATTAAACCTATATTTTCTACATAGAGGCAATCTAGCTTTTCAGTTTGAAGAAAAAATAAACTAAAATCAGCAATTCTCTACTTTAACGCCCTGTATCTCGAAAACTGGTCATAGTATCGGATTTAAAATTCATAACTCTTAAAACGGAGTTAAAATTATTATACTGAGAAAATGGTTATATTTGATCAGGGAAATTTTAGGGTGTTCGTGTTTGTTGAGCTAGGATATTTTCTCCTTCTTCCATTGTTTTCATATTATTTGTTCTATTTTGATTTTCCCGAATCAGGTCAGGTTTTTATGCTCTTAAAGTACTTCAATAGGTGAAGATTCTGTTTTTTTTTTTCTACACATTGTAAAACTGTTTTTATTTTTGTTCTTAAACATTAACAATTACTTTAAAAAAATATTTACAGTTCATCTGCAAACGAAACTGACCTTTTTTGATGAGAAATGCCATTTACACGCCCCTGTATAAAACAGGGAGTGTGGGGCTCTCCCATACGAACTACTCACTAAAACTTCACCTTTTCCAAGGACCTTTGTAGAAAGTACCAGGACCAATTTTCCTATTTCGTCCGCTTTTCTAATATCCTCCATTTCCTGGTAGTCTCTCCTCTTTCGCTTTTCTCTTCATTATCTTTTTAATACGGTCTCCTATCTTGTCCCATTTCTCTATCATTGCTTCCAGTCTGCTTGTTCTGTTATCCATCGTGTGCACCTAAAAATGGTATGCTCGGGCTTATCTTCTTCACAGTAGATATTATTTGGATCAGTTGACTTTCCCAATCCTGTAAGTATATGCTCTGAACGAGCCGTGTCCACTGAGAAATTGTGTGATGTAGAAGAGTATTCTACGATGGTTGCACGTGAACCAGGTATTTAGATTTGGGATAAGTATTTGGTCCATTGCGCAACTCGTAGAGTATCGTTACATACATTTTGCTATAACCCTATAGTCCGTTTCTTCTCTCCCCTTCTGATTATTTCGGTAATTTGTACTCCCTTTTTTTTTTCTTTTTTCTTGTACGGTGTTATTCAGAGATTACGTTTGCTGTGTCACGCGAAATCGTGCGTTAAGCGGACGCTAGCTTGATTAGCATTATCCTCGGAAGTTCTTGGAGCTTGTTGTTTTACAGCTTTACGTTTATGATTATGTGCCATACTGGAGCTTGGTAAAGATGGATAGAATGTACCACGTGGCTCAGTAGCTCTTTCTTCGTATATGTTGGTCCCCCTATGTTTAACATCAGCCGTGCCAAGGCTAAGTAGGACTTTTCGACCTTTTCAATTGTTTTTAATGTGTGCTCATTCGTCGATATAGATTCCTAGGCATCTGGCGCTGTTCTTGGAGATTATCGTATTATTTCTTATATTAAAATTCCCCTTCTATCTTTGGGTCACTTGAATATATTTGCTTCGGTATGGTTTTTTCCATCCAGTTCATAATCATGGTTAAGGAACTATTTGTCTTCTCGATGACACCATATTTAGAACCTGCTCTTAGAATCAAGGTAAGATCTTTGGCGTTCGCGACAGTTTCACAGCCTGGGGAGAGTTCCTTACACAGTACCTCGTCGTAGATGACGATGTACAGGGTTGAGCCCAGTACAGACCCTTGTGAAATGCCCGACATTTTTTGGTTTATCCCGCTACGGATATGTGAGACTTTCAAGGATTATATGACATTTCGCCATATTAAACGCGTTTTTCACGTCGATACGGATCATCGCCTGCTAGTGTTACTTGGGGTCCCCGATTATGGCTTCCTTGGTTTCTAACGTTGATTTCCCTTTACGGAATCTGTATTGGGGTTCGGAGAGTTCCAGGTAATTGTCGAGTTTTATTTTGACCAAAGTGTTCCAAGAGTTTACCTAATACATCCAAGATGCAGATCGGTCGGTACTTTAGATTCTGTACCATTCCTTTCGGGATGAGGGCCACCCTTGCTTTTTTCCAGGCTGTCGGGAATATCTGCGTCTTTGATACACCTCTAGAAGTTCTTGTGGAATCACTCCGGTGGCCACTTTTATGGTTTCCGAAGTACAGAGCTGGGAAGGATTCGAATCCTATGTGATTCGAACGCGTTTTTCACGTCGA